CAATGAAATAATACACAAATCCTTTAATGAATAAAATGGAGAAATGCCCCGAGATCGCCCCTACCTTCGATCGTTGATGTGAGGGGAAGAGGTGCAGTCGTCAACCATTTGCGACGTTGATCAGCGGCTCTTCCTCGGCGGGAGGAAACGGTGGGTTTTTCGAGAAACTGTTGACCATGTGACTACCATTTAGATTCTCATCTTTCTGTGTTATTGAAGCGTTTGACCTAGTAAGTTGAGCACTAGTGCACCCTTCCAGGCTCTCAAGAAGGCGGTTCTGCCGAAACATCAGCTACGATTGTGTTGGATGTGCGTTATAGTGTGGTAGTAAACAGACGCTGTATAACAACCTCGCTATTGCGGAAAGAGAAAACGACAATTTCATAATCCAATGCCGACGTTAATAGAAAGTCGATCTTGGGAACTCAAATGGAAATATATTTGATAAATATTTATTACACTATAATATCCTCTATAATATTTTATAGAAATATTTACAATATTATTATATTATTTCGGAGCAATAAGTTTTTTTCTTTCAAAATAATAAATTAACGCGGAATATTTTCTAGAAGGTTATATCTCTAATTTTCTGAGCGTCTTGTGATTCTGAAGTCCTCTACTTATCGAAAAATCGTATTATTCAAACTTAAATGCAGCATTTTTTCATACAAGCGGTGTTACTACGCTGCAAACGGTATTACGCTACAGAAGCTGTCGTGTAGGGACCATCTCCACCACCGGTTCGTACCTTTCCATGTTCTTGAGTCTTATTTCCATCCTTACTTTATAGAAATACTATTCAAACTTCTCCATTATTCCACCCTTACGGAATATTTTGGAGGTTTTTCTTTTTCCGTACTTAACCCTTTTCTTTAAGAGCCTTTGCGATGTTCTAGTAGTTACCGTTTTCTGTGTCGCTCCTTAGCTCACTCATCACCTTTTACTGGGAATGTTATACGCTGTTGTATGTTTTATTTTCATTTCCTAGCAAAGCTTATTCATTTTGAAATATTAGATTCCTCAGTGTCAAAGCTATGACTAGTATAGGTTGCCGTAATAGAAGTTGAAAACCACTGAATTACAGTAGTTTTTTGCACTGCTTTAAACAGTGGTCTAAAGCCGCAGAAAACACTTGCAAGATTCGGCCGCATCCCACTATTAACAACGATGACCGTTTTGAAATGCCAACTGAAATTCATGGGAGACATTTGGGGAGCAGGAGTTCCTGTAGTTTTCAATGAAACTGGAAAGCTGGAAAACTAGAAACATCATAAAATGATATATATCCCATTCTGTGTTTCGAACAAAAAAATGTTCGGTTTCTCGATATTGTTGGGACGCGCGAGCTGCGGACATGATTTCTGTGCGACATGCGACGAAATTCTCCGTAAAACTGCACGAAGACGAAGCATGGAAGCAATGGACGAGGCCACGACTGGACTAGGAGTTAGGGTGGATTGATCGTGCTGAGTAGATGAACTCATTCATTACTACTTCTTGAATTCAGGAGAAACATTTCGAAGGATACAATCAAGAAAATAAACAGCTGCTCTTTCATGTAATAGCACATTTCACCACATATTTTAGTAACTTTTGTTGTCCCTCTCATGTTGAGACATGGAGATCGTGGGCATGCACATGGAAAATGAGATCAAACTCTTTTTTTTCGGAGCATGGAGCGAAGATATATTTAGGGTTCATGCTGAGTTTATGACTAGTGATTTCAAGGCCATGTCCGTCAAAGTCCATGCAAGCATCAGAAAATAACCCAACCTTACTTACTGCTAAGGATAATGGAACTATCAGTCCCTATAGTCCAATCGAAGCGTATAATAAACGTTATGTTGCTTTCAAAATTTAGCAAATCTCAGCGTTATTGAACCAACCTGCTCCTTTACTGCTTTTACCACTGGTGTATGGACATGTTCTTCCTTCATTTATGTCCGTACAGCGGCCAGGAAAAGAAAGTCCGAAGCCTTACGAAATTCAATGCAACCTTACCGGCCACTTGAAAATTATCTGTCTTCGTTAATCTTATCTTCTGTTAACAAGTGATAACATGTGTCTATTCTAGGGAAACAGTAATGAAGAGGCAATTCAAATGACAGAGATAATGGCGCTTACAAGGTGGCGAAATTTGTTTGAGAATGAATGCGAAGAAAACGAGACCGGAAGGAACATTGAATTCCCACGACCGGCTTTCTATTAACCTCGGCATTGATCAAGTAATTCTTCGTATTTTTGTTGAGCAAACGCGAGGTGTGATTATTCTTTATTCACGAATAAGCTGACGTTTCGGCGGATTTCGCCTTCCTCAGAGCCTGGAAAGGTCAAGTTGATAGCAATCTACTCGGCCAGATACCTCCATAACCAAACAAAAAAACTCTAAACCAAGATTTCAATCACATTGAACACAGCTCTCACACTCACCGCTTTCTATGAGGTTTCCACTAAGTATGACGCGTGAAGACCAACCGCACAGAAATCACATGGAATCATAATGTCCCCCTCCCATCATAATAACAGTCCTATATACTGCTCTATATCACGCGTGATAATGAGGCATTCTTCCCGGCGGTTCATTTTCGGATTTCTGGAATTAATCCAGAATGCCTCGAGAGTTTTTCGCGCCTGTGTTCTTGATTCGCGTGCGAGGATCGTGACACATACTTCGAAGTTGTCCCCGTTATGTCTCTGGGTCCTATGCATGCCTAGCGGGGTATTTGGTCTACTTTTGTCGGCTAGGTGTTCTTTCATGCGGACACAGAGGGGTCTACCCGTTTCGCCAATGTATTCGTCACCACACGTCTTACAAGAGATCAGATAAACTATACCCGAGCTCATGCAATCACCGTCTCTACCACTGGAGCAAATTATGCAATTTTGAGTTGCACACCATATAGGCGGTTACGAACTAGCTGGCGCTTAGGATTACTCGGTGTTTCAACTACGTTTGCCGAACTCTCTAAACCCGCCCTTCTTAAGCAGCGTTTTATAGCTGCACTTACATCATTTGAGTTGAATGGTAGGGTAAACGAGACCCTTCTATCGCTAGAGTTGTCATTTGGAGGCCTAGGATTTCCCTTACACCTATCCTGAGCTCCAGTTTCGTAGCCATTAGAAATGGGTATTTGCCGCGCCAATTTCCGGGACTTCTCTCTCTACTCTCTTCCCGTGCACACGTTGGTTGCTGTTCGAAAGATGTTTCTTATAAGCGCCCTTTTCGTGTGAGAGGGGTGAGAGGAGAGGTAATGAATCAAGATGTTTGCACTATTTGGCTTTCGGTACCACTTTGTAATGTAGCCGTTTTCTGACAGGTGAATTTGTACGTTCAGGAATGGAAGCCATTTTTCTTTCGGCTTTGCTCGGGTGAACTTGATATACTCTGACTGTGCATTTAACAACTCGAAACATTTGTCCATTTCCTCCTGTGTTGAGCAAGGGCAAAACAGTCATCTATATATCTACAGTAGGCTAGCGGCCCGAGATTAGTCACCGGTGCTTCCACCTTATACATAACAGCAAACAACGTGTGCACGGGAAGAGAGTAGAGAGAGAAGTCCCGGAAATTGGCGCGGCAAATACCCATTTGTAATGGCTACGAAACTGGAGCTCAGGGTAGGTGTAAGAGAAATCCTAGGCCTCCAAATGACAACTCTGGCGATAGAAGGGTCCCGTTTATCCTACCCTTCATCTCAAATGTTGTAAGTACAGCTATAAAACGCTGCTTAAGAAGGGCGGGTTTAGAGAGTTCGGCAAACGTAGTTGAAACACCGAGTAATCTTAAGCGCCAGCTAGTTCGTAACCGCCTATATGACCGTCTATGTGCAACTCAAAATTGCATAATTTGCTCTAGTGGTAGAGACGGTGATTGCATGAGCTCGGGTATAGTTTATCTGATCTCCTGTAAGACGTGTGGTGACGAATACATTGGCGAAACGGGTAGACCCCTCTGTGTCCGCATGAAAGAACACCTAGCCGACAAAAATAGACCAAATACCCCGCTAGGCATGCATAGGACCCAGAGACATAACGGGGACAACTTCGAAGTATGTGTCACGATCCTCGCACGCGAATCAAGAACACAGGCGCGAAAAACTCTCGAGGCACTCTGGATTAATTCCAGAAATCCGAAAATGAACCGCAGGGAAGAATGCCTCATTATCACGCGTGATATAGAGCAGTATATAGGACTGTTATTATGATGGGAGGCGGGCATTATGATTCCATGTGATTTCTGTGCGGTTGGTCTTCACGCGTCATACTTAGTGGAAACCTCATAGAAAGCGGTGAGTGTGCAAAGCTGTGTTCAATGTGATTAAAATCTTGGTTTAGAGTTTCTTTGTTTGGTTATGGAGGTGTCTGGCCGAGTAGAATGCTACCAACTTGACCTTTCCAGGCTCTGAGGAGGGCAAAATCCGCCGGAACGTCAGCTTATTCGTGAATAAAGAGTAATAACACCTGCGTTTGCTCAACAAAAATACGAAGGAACATTGAATATCTGTGCGAAGAGCAACCGAAAAGAACTGCCAATTACCAGAACAATACTGGTGGGCTTGTGCTTCACTTATAAATTCCGTCCACATTTTTCTATGTCGAGATGACTTCTCTTGCGTTACTTCTTCATGTTACGTGCTACTGAAGAGAGTACCTACTACTTGTATAGTACTTGTCAATGTGCACTCAAAATAATGTCAGCCAATAGCTTTACAAGAATTCCACGAGCTACGATGAATTTCAGCAGCTATACACACCACACTCCTTAGCACCATGTTTTCAAACGATTTCTGGAAGTTCCCATAAAGCATATTGTTTACACCCTACAAAATTTATTGGGGTAAAAGCCATTCTCACAAACAGCATTAAGGTCACAGCATCATCACTCAGAATAGTATCGTAAAAATAATTTGTAACACTGACGATAGTTTGCTCTGCGGACACTGTATCAGCATCGTTGCCACCAGCACTACTCGTTTTGCATTCCAGACGAAGACAGCTCAATCGAGCTTAAGAATGATCTTGACCGGCTTCAGCGGCGACGAGGTTAAAAGCTGTCTAACTTCCTCTTTCAAAGGATTTCCGGTTAAATTCAGTTGTACAAGGGAAGTACATGATACATACAGCCGTTCTACGTCCAGATCTAAATGGAGTTGTATCTGAAAACAATGGAATGAATACATTGCCATTCAGCAAACAAAGCTAAGCTCAATGGAAATTCTCATACATGAGACACCTGTAATCAAATTTCCAGAAAGATCCAAAATGGCGAGGTGTTTCATGTTATATATGCCATTAGGGAATGATGTGAGTCGATTGTTAGCTGCATTGATCCCTTTCATTGATGTCCACTGCTCGAACTTCTCCGGTATCTCAGCTATTTCGTTCCCTTCCATATTAAATACTAAAAAAGTTTTTTTAAAATAACTTTTGAGGTTTTTTCGTCTACAGTTTCGCGTTCATAAAGTGGAACTCGTTCTCACTAGTGGCATTTGGGAACTTGTCGATCATCTTCGTTGGAAATCGCTTCAGTGAGTTATCTCGTACACTGACCTGTCAATTGAAAGATAAGTATTTAAAAATCAGGTAATATAAAATCAGGAGCTCCTGGCAAATCATTCAAGACCTTTGAATTTTTTTTTTGAAATCATGAAATTTTGATGAAACACTATATTCCAGGTTAAGTTTTATGAATGCGCCAAATAAACCGCATTCTGGGATCCTATATTGAGAGTGGGTCTTTAGCACTTTAGCTAAACACTTTCAACTCTAGAAAGCTGATGTTACTATAAGAGGTGGGTAGCACAATGGTAGCGATGTTAGTCATCACGTGCACTGTGCTGACTCGATCCCGCACCATGCCCACCAAATCTGTCAGTCCTTCGAGGTAGGGAATTTGGTACCGGACTTGTCTGGGAGAAAAATTCACTCTCTGCAATACAACTGGGAACGCTCCAGCTATCTAAGAATAGCTATCTAAGGACTCCGGGAAAAATTCCTGGACCAGTATTCTACGACATTCAAGATGAAATAAAAATCCTCAAGCAGCAAACGAAGCCACAGGTAAAATTGGAAGGTTTTCATGGGTAACAGATGCGAAGAAACAAATCGAATATGAGAAGTGCTGTGATCCGCACAGCAGACGTGAAGATGGGTCGTATAAAATAAATGTTAATACAACCACAACGTTGCTGAGATATTTGCAAAACTCTGGACCGCAGGTGTCTATGGTGGGGAACGAACGCGCTATTATCCTTTCCGGGGAGTAACGCGTTCACCACCACACCATGCGGGTCCTTTGTTTCGCACGTCTCTCAGCTATTTCTATCGATCTTTTTGCCACAGCAAAAAGGATAATAGCGCGTTCGTTCCCCACCATAGACACCTGCGGTCCAGAGTTTTGCAAATATCTCAGCAACGTTGTGGTTGTATTTCGCTTAGTAACCTGCCATGAAAATTATAGAAGGCAGAAAACAAAGCGTTAAACAAATGTTAATATTTCTTTCCTGTAAAGAAGACGGCCAAATCAGTGGTTTCACATGATAAAATCGTTCAAATTTCAGGTTAGGAATCGCAGTAGAATATACAGGCTTCAGAATACATGCCCACTGACGAGTCCTTCGTGTCTTTTCAAGGCAGAATTCCCTTCTTCGGTAGAGATATAGTCTCATGTTATTCAATGCTTGCTTTAGAACTGACTACACTTTAAAAAATTTGGTACCTACTAGCATTGAACGTTTTGTAATTGAATAGGTAACTGAGCTTGTAGTGATGAGAGTTAAATAAGATCCGCCCGGGTCATGAAAGTATCTCCATGTGGTTAACTGGTGAGCAAGTTTTCCTCTGGTCGGTAACATAGTGTGGAAAACGATCTAAAGCGCTCCGACTCAGGAAACTGCTATTAAATTTCTCTGTAAAAATCTCGCGATTCATAAAGGATGACCACTTCCCTGCGGAGAAGACCTAGTATCATCGTACCACGGCTTATGCAGGACCCCAGAAGGAACCGAACAGACTATCATTCAACCAAATCCATAAGCAAATATAAAAATCTCCAAACAGTAGCCGAACCCACAAGAAAATCCAAAGATTTTAGTGAATAATGGATGCGGAGAAACGAATCGGCCGAAAGAAATGCAGGGGCTCCTATAATATGTAAAGCAAGGCGACGGCAAATGGCATTACCTGTCATCTGTATCACCTGTAGTCCCGCTGATCGTCGAGTGACTCGAGCGGGTGCCAGTAAATCTTCCATTTTCCCCTGCCGCGTGCAAGAGTAGCTCAGTGGGTTCTGCTCGCTCTAAGGACTCGTCGAGCATCATATCTTTCTTCTAGGCTTTTCGTGGAGAACTCTGACCATCGAGTCAGTGGCCTTCCTGCAGTGCGTTTAACGTCCCGAGGGATCCAGTTACTAACGGCTTCATCGGTTGCCATTCATACTCATTACGTGCCCGGCCCATCTTATCTTCGACTGTTTGGCGTACAGAACGGCATCTTTGATTTTTGATCGTTAACGCAGATCGGAGCCTCGGTTCCCATCCCTTACTTGCGTGGAACGGGATACTCCTAGAATCGCCCTTTCGACTGCGCGTTCGATAACGCTGACCTTTCATCCTGGTTACGCAGCGACCAGGTTCCTGACGCATACGTTAGGACAGGAAGTACCGTTGAGTCGAAAGGTAGGCACGGAGTCCGGTGATCTTTGTTCACTTCACTACATCCTCGATGCTCTTGAAAGCTCCCAAAGCCGCTCGTTTTCTTTTGCTCAGCTATGGAGCTAGGTCGTTCATCATATTGATTTCCCGACCTAGATAGATATAACTGGAGCATTCGGAGATATTCGTTCCGTTGAGCGTGAATGGGGCAAACGAAACCTATCCGTTCTTCATAAACATCGTTTTTGTGAGATTTAATCAAAGGCCAATGTTCCCACAGGCTTTATCAAAATCGGCAAGCATACGTTCCGCTTGGCTAATGTTTAGTGTTATAAGGACGGTGTCATCAGCAAAGCGAAGATGGTGTAACTGCCGACCGTCGATTTTCACTCCAATATTATCAAATTCCAAAGTTCACATGACGTTCTGGAGACTGGCGATAAATAATTTTGTTGAGATGGTATCGCCTCGCCTAACTCCTCTTTTGATGTCTATGTTAATATCGTTGTAGAATGGTGGTATCTTGTTTGTGAAATTTTTGTACAGCTCACGAAGAATTATTATGTACTGAGTAGGGACTCCATGACTATCAAGGGCTTCCATGACTGCTTCTGAATTAAGTCAAAGTCAAATTAAATCAAAGTCAAAGTTCCGTAAACCGATGAAAGTGAGACAGCGGTCTTTTGTACTCTCGCGATAATTCAATGAGCAGTGTTACAGTGTAGATGTGCTCCATCGTACTAAATCCTCTTCGAAACCTTGCTTGCTCACATGGCTGTCCTTGGTCTAGTGTTCTGTCAATCCTGTTTAAGGCGACTCGAGTGAAAAGTTTGTAGACGACAGACAGCAAGCTGATTGGACGTTAGTTGCCGATGTCGGTCACCCTTCTTGAACAATAACTCGGTCTTACTGGCTTTCCACTGAATAGGGGCCCAGAATTCAGACAGGTACCGTGTGAAGATCCGAGCCAGTGTGTTTACGAGGACTGGCGGAAAGTTCTTTAGGTGTTTTGGTCTTGTCCTGTTTGGACCTGATGCTGTTCCATTTTTCACCGACGAAATGGCATGTCGGATTTCGGAAGGAAGAACCAGTGGTACAACATAACCATCCTCCTTTATTTCATGTGACGGAAGGTGGACGTGGCTATCGAAGAGATCCAAGTAGTATTCGTGAACGATTTTCTCCATTGCCTTTCTGAGCGCTGTAACTGTTCCGTCTGGGCACCGGAGAGCAATCATTTTGGTCTTCTAATTGGCGAAGCTTCGGTGGGCTTTGCGAATGCTTCTCCCAGCCTCTGCACCTTCGTCCATTACTGTTGGTCTACTCTCTGAGATCTTCTTTTATCACCTCTCTGCATTGTTTTGCAAGTTCGGACGTTAGTTCGCGATTGTCTGCAGCTGGAGCGATTCCACGCTGGCGTATCAGCTCGAGTGTTTCTGGAAACAGACGTCTCTTGGTGGCTTTCGAACTCTGAGCTTTCATAGCGCTAGCCTGAAGATGTTGAATGAGCCGATCGTATTCTTCGTCGATGTTAACGACAACGGCATCTTCCCAACAACCGACTAATAAATTGAATAAATCCCAGTTTACGGTGGTTCTGGGACTTCGGTTTTAGAATTTAGCGGCTTTTTCTTCTTTCCGCGAGAAACAGAATGTTGCACGAAAGAGACGATGGTCTGATCCCGTGTAGAATAGAATTTTGGGATAACAGCGACATCGGTTAGGCAAAACCTTCTATTTACTATGATGTGGTCTATTTCGTTATGGTACTCTCCATTGGGAGACTCCCACGTCCAGCGTGGAGGGTGAGGCTTCTGGAATTGCGAGTTACCACGGATTGTTTTGGTCAGCATGATAAACTTAGATAGCCGCTCACCCTGTTCGTTCCATTCTAATCCGTGGGTCCCAATGTGACGTTCTTCTTGGTCCAATCTTGGCGTTCAAATCTACAATGATGACCCTGAAGAATGTGTGGTCTTCTCTGTAGAACTTTTCCAAGTCCAAATACAATGCTTCGACTTCTTCTTCGTCATAGTTTGATGTCGGCGCGTAAACGATGAAGATTTCAAAGCCGGCATTGTTCCACATCTTTTTAATCGCAAATGTCCGATTCGGGTTGTAATCTGTTCGAATGAATCGATGTTCATGGACAAACTCCTGTTGACGAGAACGCCGACGCCACCGACTCCTCTACTGTCGTATGTTCCGAGGAATAGTTCTTCTCCGGTGTCATAGACTGCGTTGAATGGGTGGCGTCTTCTTGTCTCGGCCAGGCCGATGACGTTGTACCCTATTCTTCTTGCTTGGGTGAGCAAGTCTTCTATCGAGGACTCGGATGCAAGTGGACGTGCATTGTAGGTACAGATCGTCACCTTAGTTCTTTGAAATCCAGGCACTTTCCATTGGCCCTGAGATTTTAGCAGCTTCTCCGTACTCGTTCTACCCAACGCTACGAAATTGGGAGCTCTTTCGGGGTCAGGAGAATGAAGCCCGTCTTTTTTTTTACTGTGTTTAGCATTTTTGATACCCATGTATAGCTTGCTGGGCTCTGAACGTGGGGGCTGGGCATACGCACGAGTAGCTTGGCAGGCTCTTCCAGAGTGGAAATGGAGCCTGCTTGTTGGAGGCGACACGTAACCGCCTCCCATATATTTCCCTATCACTTGATTGCAAGCTTTTGGCCGAATTAACTCGTAGAATACAATCCGCATAAGCACGAACGCACCCACACAGGCATGCATGAATACGTCTATTAAATACAGAAAGTATGTGCCAAATCAGCGCAGCAGAAACAGAGAGTCCATCCCTGGATCTACCTGTGTCTCAGGGAAGCAAAGGTCGCTTTTGGTCGGCGATTAACCCCCTATCCGCCACATGGGGACGCGCCACGTAGCTTCGCGACTAACCTGCTCGAGATCACTCATATGAGGGAGATCCGTGGAAAGTAAGGTCATATAAAAATTAAAGTGAAAATGGTGACTTCTCTGCCTATCGATCACCGAGGTCATCAAACCATGAAGGGAAAGAATTAGGTGCTAAAGTGAAGAAAGGATCGACAAACCTTTGTTACTTCAAATCCCTTTAAAACAAGATAAATCGCATCAGCTATGTACATCAGTGCGCAAGAAGATAAGTCTGAAATTGGACTTCATAACGGCTGGCGTCTATCATCAGCGTCGGGGAACTAGTGAATGCATCTGAAGGTATAGTGTCGTTTTCAATGTTTTTTATCCTAGTAAGGCCAGAAGAGTAACGTGAATTAGTGGAAGTGAGTCGTTCAGTTCACCAAAAATCTCAGCAGTGTCGCTATGATCGACCAGAAATATTGAACTCTTAACATCAAATTTTTCAAATCAGGTTCTTCAGGAGAATTGAAAGAGTGTGGAATTTTCCTTCTATTCATGAAAAATGCGTATAATAACTTACAAAAAGAGTCTGTAGAAAATAATAACTGCTTTCGATTTCATCCATTAACAAATTCAAAACAACGTTGGCACTCAGTTTCTCGCTTGTAGATGACCTCACCTAGAAATCCGGATGCTTTTGCGGCTTCACATCTATCGATGAC